TACAGACAACTACTGAGTGGCTGGCACTGCTCTGGGCACAGGGGATTTAGCTAGGGCAAAACAACTCCCTTCTTAGAGCTCCTATTATAATGGAGGTGTAACAAACCAAAGTGTCTAATTCACCTGAGATACTGAAGGCAAGAAAGTTGTCTAAGATAACATTTGCTTTTGCCGTGTGCTTCCTTCAAGGACACTCAGATAGGGATGCTCTCCTAGGGAAGGAAATACTGTTTATCTTCCTTGTTAATTTGTTAGCCTGATTTAGATCATGGCCATAGGGGATGGCACTTGCCACTGTCCTAAAAACTCTCCTGAGTGTCTTCAATGTTTCCTCCTATCTAAGTGGAAAGTAGGAGCTCTGGTAGCATAGTGCCTAAGGCACTTGATTGCTAACCAGAAAGCTGGCAGTTCAAACCCGCCAGGCACTCCTTGGAAGGAAGGTTGGGCAATCTACTTTCGTAGTGATACCTCCTCAAAAACCCAAGGGGTCACTATGAGTCAGGGCTGACTGGACGGCAAACAACAATAATAACAACAAGTGGAAAGTATGCTTGATCTGACCAATCACAGGGCAGGAGATAAGAGCACAAGGGGGAGAAGATCATAGTGGCTTTTGGAGAAAAAGGGTCATGAGGGCTTTAGACTACAGCAGTAGCCCCACCCCACCTGCCTAATTAATCCACATAGGCGGGTAACAATAATTTAGTATCTATGCTTACATGTCCCTTTTGGTTCTTAATCAAAGCCACCCCTATCAACATTTAAATACTTTTCACATAGAAAGAGTAATAAAAAAGGAAATCACCAACTCTCTCCTTAAATAGAAGCCATTATTCTCTTTATACACAAAATAAAAAGCTTTTGTAGAAGGTGTGCTTCAAAGTGTGGTGGAATGCAGAATGTGGACCCTAAAGAGGGGCACAGTTAAGAACTGATTTGACAGGTGGAGGGAGAGGGGAAAAGGCAGGATGTCCTTGGCTAGGATGTGCTGAAGCCTGAATTTCTGGATTATACAAAGGACCATGGTTCTTAACCTTGCTGGTCAGGGAGGTTTTGAAAATCAAAGTTTGTGTCTTCCTCTCATAAAAATATATGTGCATACAACCTTTGTGGACAATGAAGGGGGACCATGGAATTGCTGAAGCCTTTCATGTTTCCCATATTAAAGGGGGGGGGGGACCCTACAGCGTAGTGTCTAAGGCACTAGCCTGCTAACCAGAAGGCTGGCGGTTCAAACCCACCAGCCACTCCTTAGAAGGAAGTTTGGCCAATCTACTTCTGTAGTGATACTGCCTCGGAAACCCAAGGAGGGGTTGCTATGAGTTGGGTCTGACTCGATGGCATGTAACAACCAGCACTACCACTCCAGGACTGTGACTTCCTAGAGCAAATGTGGGGAAACACTTTCTGTGAATAGCCAGACAGTAAATACTTAGGTTTTGCAGACTATATGGTCTCTGTTTCACTATCCCATCTAATCAGTTTATCATACTGTAGTGGCTTGTGTGCTGCTGTGATGCTGAAAGCTATACCACTCAGTACTGTAAATCAGCAGGGTCAGCCACGGTGGACAGGTCTCAGCAGAGCTGCCAAACTAAGACAGACTGGGAAGAAGCATATGGTAGTCTATTTCTAAAAAATCTGGCCAGTGGAAACCTTATGAGTAACAGCAGATTGTTGTCTGATACAGAGCTGGAAGATGAGCCTCTCAGGTTAAAAGACACTCAAAAGACAACTGGTGAAGAGATGCCTCCTCAGAGAAAAGTCAATTTTAATGATGTGGATGGAATAAAGCTCTTGGGACCTTCATTTGCTGATGTGGCACAAGTCAAAAAGAGAAGAAATAGCTACAAACATTCATTAATAATCAGAACATTGAATGTATGAAGTAGGAATCTAGAAAAATTGGAAATTGTCAAAAATGAAATGGAATGCATAAAGATTAATATTCTAGGCACTGGCAAGCTGTAATAGACTGGTATTGGCTTTTGAATCATATAGTCTACTATGCCAGGAATGACAAATCGAAGAGGAATGGCATCACAGTCATCGTCAAAACAAATGTTTCAAGATCTATCCTGAAGTATAATGCTGTCAGTGATAGAATGATATTGATATGCCTATAAGGAAGCCCACTAAATACTACTATTAGTCAAATTTATGAACCAACCACTAAAGCAAAAGATGAAGAAATTTAAGATTTTTTTAACTTCTGCAATCTGAAATTAGTCAAACAAGCAATTAAGATGCACTGGTAATTACTGGTGATTGCAAAGGGAAAGTTGGAAAGAAGGATTGGAAGCTGGAATATACAGCCTTGGTGACAGAAATGACACCAGAGATCGCATGACAGAATTCTGAAAGACCAACAGCTTATTCACTGCAATTATCTTTTTTTAACAACATTAAGAGAGACCACAGACATGGACTTCCCCAGATTGAATACACAGGAATCAAACTGACTTTACCTGTGGAAAGAGATGATGGAGAAGCTCAATATCATCATCAGAACAAGGTCAGGGGCCAACTACACAACAGACCATCAATTGTTCATATGCAAGTTCAAGCTGAAGCTGAAGAAAATTAAAACAAGCCCACAAGAGCCAAAATATGACCTTGACTATATCCCACCTGAATTTAGAGACCATCTGAAGAACAGATTTGATGCACTGAACACCAAAGACTAAGAACCAGAAGAGTTGAGGGATGACATCAAGGGCATCATATATTAAGAAAGCAAAAGGTATTAAAAAAGACAGGAAAGGAAGAAAAGACTGAAAGGGGTATCAGAAGAAACTCTGAATCTTCCTCTAGAATACAGAGAAGCGAAAGGGAATGAAGAAAGGATGATATGAAAGAGCTAAATAGATTTCAAAGCTTGAGAAGGCAAAATAAAGTTGTGCAAAGACCTGGTGTTAGAAAATCAAAACAGAAGAACACCCTAGGCATTTCTCTAGTGGAAAGAACTGAAGAAAAAATTGACGCCTCGAGTGAAAATATCAAAGGCTTCTATGGGCAAAATACTGAACAATACAGGAAGATGGAAGAAATAGAGAGTCACTGTACAAAAAAGAACTGGCTGCCATTCAACCATTTCAAGAAGGAGCATATGATCAAGAATCAATGATATTGAAGGAAAAAGTCCAAGCTGCACTGAAGCCACTGGTAAAAAACAAGGCTCCAGGAATTAATGGAATACAAATTGAAATGTTTCAACAAACTGATGCAGTGCTAGAGGTGCTCATTCGTCTATGCTAAGAAATTTGGACGACAGCTACCTGGCCAACCCATAGCAAAAGAATCATATTTGTGTCCATTCCAAAGAAAGGTGATCTAATTAGAATGTGGAAATTATTTAACAATATGAATATCACATGCAAATAAATTTTGCCAAAGATAATTCAAAAACAGTCACAGCAGTACATAAACAGGGAACTGTCAGTAATTCAAGCCAGATTCAGAAGAGGACATGGAACAAGGGATATTAATGCTGATGTCAGATAGATCTTTGCTGAAAGCAGAGAATACCAGAAAGATGTTTACTTTTTATGCAAAGGCATTCGACTGTGTGGATTATAACAAATTATGAGTAATCCTGCAAAAAATGAAAATTCCAGAGCACTTAATTATGCTCATGTGGAACCTGTCATTCGAACAGAAACAAGAAGATACCGTATGGTTTAAAATCAGAAAAGGTGCATGTCAGGGTTGTATTCTTTCACCATACTTAATAAATCTGTACACTGAGTAAATAAATAATCTGAGAAGGTGGAATGCTGCCATCAGGACTTAGGAGAAAGACTCAGTAACAACCTGTGACATGCAGATGACACACAATGCTGCTTGCTGAAAGACAGAACTTGAAACACTGATGAAGATCAAAAACCACAGCCTTTAGTACAGATTACATCTCAAAGAAAACAAAAATCCTCACAACTGGACCCATAAATAACATCATGATAAATAAATTAAAGATTGAAGTTGCAAAGGATTTTATTTCACTTGGATCTACAATAAACACCCATGGAAGCAACAGTCAAGAAATCAAATGATGTATTGTACCAGGCAAATTGGTGATAAAAGATCTCTTTTAAAGATTAAAGAGCAAAGATGTCACTCTGAGGACTAAGGTGCACCTAACTTAAACCATGGTATTTTTAATTGCTGGATAGTAAATAAGGAAAAGTGAAGAACTGATGCCTTTGAATTATTGTGTTGGTGAAGAATGATGCTGAATGTAGCATGAACTGCCAAAAGAACAAATCTGTCTGGGAAGAAATACAGTCAGAATGCTCCTTAGAAATGAGGATGACAAGACATGGTCTCACATACATTGGTTATATTACCAGGAGGGACCAGTTCCTGGAGAAGGACATCATTCTTGGTGAAGTAGCTCTGGTAGTGTAGTGCCTAAGGCATTTGACTGTTAACCAGAAGGCTGGCAGTTCAAACCCACCAGCCTCTCCTCGGAAGGAAGATTGGGCAACCTACTTCCATAGTGATACTGTCTTGGAAACTCAAGGAGGGGTTGCTATGAGTGAGATCCGACTCGATGCCAATGAAAAAGAGGGTCAGTGAAAAACAGGAAGACCCTCAATGAGATGGAATGACACAGTGGCAGCAACAATGGGCTCAAACACGGCAACAATTGTGAGGATGGCACAGGAACAGGTAGTGTTATGTTCTGTTGTACAGAGGGTTGCTAGGTGTCAAAACCAACTTGACAGCACCTAACTACAACAGTATGGTCTCTGTTACTATGATTCAACTCCTTGTACAGCAGCCATCACAAGAAGTGAACAGAATAACAGTAAGTGGGCAGTTTACCAATGCTTATCCCAGAAGGTCAGGACTTGGTTATGCCTGTGTTTACAACACCAGAGCATGCCATGGCAACCAGGCCTAAATAATCAATGAAGATTTTGATGTTTTTCTATGGAGGTAGCAACCAATGATGGAAAGAACACCAGAGTAGGCAGCAAGCATCAGAGCTAATCAGGATGATCATGGACGTGCAGTTCCCCATGTTTGCCAACATGCTGGGTGAGTTGCTCTCCTTTCTTATTGTTCTCTATCACTATGTGACCATCAGCTACCCCAAGAAGCAGGAATGAGTCGTGCTTTCTCTGCTCCAGCATTCCAGGGCATAGCCTGAGGCAAGGTAGAGAGTGTGAGGGACCTTCACATTTCACTTCATCCCTTCTACCCAACACAACATACAAAGCAACCATATCTGGATTTTTCCAAACAACCTTTATTTCCACAAAGTCTTCCTTAAGCCTATGGAACAAGAAATCGCCACTGAGTAGGGCCCAGTATAAGGGCTGCTTTCTTTCCTACTTTCCCAATATAAAAATATAGATATATTTTTTTGTGGTCCCCCTGCAAAAAAAAAAAAAGAGTGGAGTAGTAATAGGAAATATACTCTTACTCCGTCTCTGCCTTTGATCCTATCTAGAAACATCACACTCTCTGGACTTGAGGTCCCTTATCTGCAAGATAAAGAGAGCTATCAGATGATTTACAAAGTCTCTTCCATCTGAACTTCTAAAATCCCTAATCTACAACTAGGTAAGAGAAAACATGAGAAGATAAAAGGTTGACAATACGGGAAGTCAAATCTGTAAACATGTTCACATAATCCAGGTGAAGGCAAAACTTCTGGACTAGGGTGCAGAAGTAGCATTGGGGAAACATATATCTGAAAAATAAAGATAGTAATTTACTACCTAGATTTTATTTATATCCCTCTTCCTTGCTGTAGAAGAATTTAAGCCAATTTAATACCTATTGAATGCACCATAGCATGATGGTTGAAATAGTCTCTCAGATGAACAACTCTCCTTATAGCAAAAGATGCCCCCAAACAAATCAAAACCTTTTTATGTTGTTTTATATTATTCTACCAAGATTGGGTTGAGGGTGATACACATACAGGTAAAGAGGTAATCACAGTACCATATTACCAAGGTCAAGGGAAGTGGAGCAAAGGGCAGTCATTGAACCAGGAGGAAGAATCAGAGCTTATCCTGAAAAGAGAAAGAACACGCTCCCAACAGAGCAAACAGCAGGTGTGTTCAGTAGGTGTGATGACACATAGAGGTGGAGCTTCAAAAATGAGCAAGGGCAGGCCCATGAAGGCTCAGGAAAACACCTGCTAATTTAGGCAGGGTGGGAAGACACTTTGGCAACTGGGCAATCCTCCACTACAGCCCCAAGAGTTAGAAAAAAATGACAGGAGACAGGAAGACTAATTAGAAAGCCATGACATGTAGAAAATTATCAGGGATTGAATTGGTAGGGTCAGTGGGCTTGAACAGGAAAAGCAAGTAACAGAATTTTTTAAAATGAAATATTTTATCGTGGTTTCAGTCAAGGTTTACACAGCAGTTTAGGTTCCTATTCAAAAATTTCTACACAAAAGGATCGGTGACATTGGTTAGGTATTAGAATTTGTGGTAGTTAAATTTGTATGTCAACTTGGCTGGGCCTGGTTTAGTGGCTGGGCAACTGGTGGTAGGTATTCCCCATGATGAGACTGGCAATCAATTCCATGGTGGAATCTACCACAAGCAATTGAGTAGCTGCCTTAGGGATATGGTCTGCTTCCTGTATATAAGGAGAAGCCTTGGGGATAGTAGCTGGCCTATGGCATGCTTGAACCCTGTGTGTAGCTGTGTCATTTAGCAACCTGCTATGCTCTGCTGACCTTGGGACTTTCAATGGACATGAATCAATGGCCTGCTATGTGGTTTGGTAACATCGGGACTATGGCATTTTATTTGTCGACCTTGGGCTTGTTAGCCTCAGCACCCAGTAAGCTGCCTGAGTGAAGAGATGCCTCTAGTGTCAGTGGGCTGGGAGCAAAAGGCAGAGCTGAAGCCCAAGGTCAAGGGGCTTTTACACAGCCCTTAGAGCCTGGTACTTTGAACTTGGACTTAAAGCCTCCAAACTGTAAGAGAATGAACTCCTTTTTTGTTAAAGCCATCCCATTGGTGGTATAGTCTTGTCAGAGTGGCACTAGATAACCAATACAGAATTCTATAAAAATTGACAGCTAGCTAGGCATGAGAGAATGAGAGAAGGAACCAGTCTATGCTGATACCACAGTATAACCAACCAAAATCCAGAATCCAGGAGGAAAGATAGGTGTGAAAAAAAATAGGAAACAAGTACCATTATTCAACAAACCCCTATCCTGAAGAAAAGAACATGTGATCTGAACAGCTGACCCCTGAAGGCTCTGATGGCTCCATCAAGTAGATCTCCTCATGGAGAGGCATTTTTGGTTATTCAATAGACAAGCAAAATCAGGAGCATGACCTCTAATCCAATACTGGTCACACTTGGAAAACTTAGGTGGACTCTTTCTTAATGCACATTTTGTGTCTAAGCGATGGTTTCAGAAGCAAACATGCTGTAAGAAATACCAACTGTAACCTACTTATTAGAGTCAGCTTAAGGTAAAGAAGGAAGACACTAGCAATGAAATCTCCCAAAGGCTCCTGCACACATCTGCTAGAATCAGAGCTGGCACAATCTCTACTCTTTCACTAACAGAAGTTGCTCCCTAGTACAGGATGAGTATGTAAGGGTTACACCACAACCATGCAGATCACTGCCATGCAAGCTGAGGGAGGACACAAAGCCATCTCAGGGGCTGCTGCTGAGCAGCTCACAATACTCACCTTTCCCATTAACGGTAAGTCCCGTGGCCATAGCAGCTGTCACTGGGCCAGGCGCCTGAGGCACTATTGGGTGTATCCGAGGCCGACTCCCCATTCTAGCTCTCTCTGCACCAGGACTCAACAGAGCTCCAACAGGTTTCTCGGCGGCCACTTCTGGAGTCACCGTGTCCTCATGACCCTGCTCTATAGGATCCAATTTCTCGGGGCTCTCATTCTGAAAACCATCCACCGCTGTCCTGCTTTTAATGGGGCTCTTAGGCACAAGTATCTTTATACCTGATTTTGCTAGGTCCATATTTTTGCGGTTAGAGAGAGATGGGGCTGTGTTTTTCCTGAACTTCTGGCTGGCAGCAAATAACTGGCTGTTTTTTGACTCGTGGTCTTTGCCAATCACGAGCGATTTAGGAGAGGTCTTAGAAAAGCTGCTGTTGGTGGATCTGGAAATCTGCTTCCTAGCATTGTTTGGAGAGGTCCTATTTGTCCTAGTTAATATGCTTTCTTTTTGTTTCTCCGTATGGCGTCTGTTGAAGTCATGGATATATTCTTCACAGTTTACAAGATGCTGCTCTGGTTCCCACGTGTCATCCTCACTGTCATAGCCTTTCCACCGCACCAGGTATTCAGTCTTCCCCTTCTTGTTTTTCCTTTTGTCAACAATCCTTTCAACCTGTTTGTAAAAGAAAAAAAATATTTAAATCACATTTATTATTTGCAAAAAATTCTAGTTTCATGATGAAACATCTTAAGTAATAAAAACCATGATAGACAATTAAAATGCACTCTCTCCCTCAATCAATTGGAAAGAAAGTAGTAACAGATTACTTGGGATTTCAGCAGGAGCTCTGGTGGCATAGTGCCTAAGGCATTTGACTACTAACCAGAAGGCTGGTGGTTCAAACCCACCAGCCACTCCTTGGAAGGAAGGTTGGGCAATCTACTTTCGTAGTGATACAGCTTTGGAAACCCAAGGAGGGGTCGCTATGAGTCGGATCTGATTCAACAGCAGTGTGTGTGGTTTGGTTTTGGTTTGGGGATTTTAGCAATTTCCTTAAGATGAAACCAAATGAAATGTTGAAATTTTATGCTATGAATAGCTCTCTCTCTCTGTGTGTGTGTGTGTGTGTGTGTGTTGATTCAAAAGGAGTTTCTTTATGTCTGCAGTCCCTGAGTGGCACAAACGGTGAACATATTTGACTGCTAATGGAAAGACTGGAGGTTTGAGCCCACCCAGAAGCTCCTCAGAAGAAAGGCCTGGGGATCTACTATGACACACATAGCTTGTCATGAGTTAGAGCTGACTCAAAGGCAACTGGTTTTAATTTTCATGTTTACATTAAACTCTGACTACCTGAATTGGTTTTCAGAATCAAAGCTGGGTCAGTACTAGTCATTTATAGTCTTTTGTCAAGTCATCTTCAGGTTACCAACAAGAACTCCACTGTGGTAAAGTGAAGGCAACAAGCTATGAGGGGCTAAGAAACTCCTATTATGTAGAACTGGCTTGTTCAGGAAACACATGATGATGAGTCTTACCAGTACCATTCTAAACCTCTCAATTAAAACAACAAAAAGTCAATGGAGAGCATAATACAATGAAATGGTCTAGAGTATCTCTAGGTTATTTTCCTCCAAATCTTTGTTTTAATCAATTTTATTCTAACATCTTTGAAAGAAGATGCTGTTAATTTTTTAACACGATGGTCAACATGTCCTGCATCAAATTTATAAATCACACAGTATCGTCACATAAGTTATTATTGTGACAGATTCTACTGCCTTAACTTTCTAAGTTTAAAAGAAAGGGACTATCATGATGGCTGACATGAACAGAAAACATCTGACAAACTGTCACTGTATACTATTACATAAATTCTACCCAGAACCTTTTGTTGTTCCACCTCCAGTTAATACAAAACCCATCAAACCACTTTCCCAGTGGCAAAAGGCAATGCTGCACTTTTCAGGCAGAGGGCAACAGTCATAAAGTAGCTGTCTAAAGAACCTAAGGTCTGCACTCATCAATCATTAAGAACATCAGTAAATTTCTGGCAGTTAGAAGGTATGTTAGATGATAGACATTTCTCTAACATCCCAAAATAAAAGAGGCTATTTGAGTACAACTACTGACAATTTCTACCACTGGTCTGTCAGTCTGTCATACTGTGGTGGCTTGTGTGTTTCTGTGATGCTGGAAACTATGCTACTGGCATTTCAAATACCAGGAGGGTCACCCTGGACAGGTCTCAGCAGAGCTTCAAGAATTAGATAGACTAAAAAGAAGGATGAGGGTATCCACTTCTGAAAAAATTGGCCACTGAAAACCTTATGAATAGCAGTGAAACACTGTCTGATGTAGTGGTGGAAGATGAGACCCTCAAGGTTGCAAGGCATTCAAAATATGACTAAGGAAGAGCATCCTCCTCAAAGTAGAACTGACCGTAATGATGTGGATGGAGTAAAGCTTTCTGGATCTTCATTTGCTGATATGGCACAACTCAAAATAATAATCAGAATGTGGAATGTATGAAGTATGAGCAAAAATGTCACTCTGAAAACTCAGGTGCACCTGGACCCAAGCCATGGTACTTTCAATAGCCTCATATGCATGTGAAGCTGGACAATGAATAAAGAAAACCAAAGAAGAATTGATGCATTGGCAACTGTGGTATTGGTGAAGAATACTGAAAATACCATGGACTGCCAGAAGTATGAACAAATCTGTCATGGCAGAAGTACAGCCAGAATGCTCCTTAGAAGCGAGAATGATCAGACTTTGTCTCACATACTTTGGTCATGTTGTCAGAAAGGGCCAGTGCCTGGAGAAGGGTATCATCCTTGGTAAAGTAGAGGGTCAGCAAAAAAGGGGAAGACCTTCAATGAGATGGACTGACATTGTGGTTGTGATGACGGACTGAAGTAAAGCAAGGTTTGTAAGGATGGCGCAGAACTGGGCAGTGTTTTGCTCTGTTGTATCTAAGTCTCAATGAGACAACAACATCGACAATTCAGAAGTCCCTGGATGCCACATACAGTTAAGTACTCATCTACTAACTGAAATCAGGTGGCAGTGTGAATTCACCCAAAAGTACATCGAAGGAAAGGCCTGGCAATATGCTTCCAAAAGTTCACACTAATGAAAACCCTACAACAATCCTACTTTTACACACTCATGGGTTGTCATGAGTCAGAATCCTCTCAGCATCAAGTGGTTTATTAAGTCTTGCTGTTGCTCTCAATAGACAATTTTAAAGACCCTGGGTGGTACAAAAGGAGGCTGGGTGGTACAGTGGTTAAAGCACTTGGCTGCTAACCAAAAGGTCAATGGTTCAAACCCACTCTATGGGAGAAAGATGCAGCAGTCTGTTTCTGTAAAGATTTACAGCCTTAGAAACCCTACAGGGCAGTTCTCCTCTGTCTTACAGGATTGCTATTAGTTGGAATTAACTCAATAGCAGTGAGTTTGCTTTGGTTTTGGTTGGGTGGTACAAACAATTAACACACTCAGCAACAGAAAAGGTGGGGGTTCAAGTCCACTGAGAGGTGCTTCAGAAAAAAGGCACCTCTACTTCTAAAAAATAAGCCACTGAAAACTCTATGGAGTACAGTTCTACTCTGACATGCATAGAATTGGGGTCATCAAGAGTCAGAGTTGACTCACCAAGCAACTGGTAATCTTGGAGAATGGGAGAATATCCCTGCCCCAAACATTTCCCCTATTCTCTCCCTCTTCTACAACATAACAAAAATAAAAACTCCAAGGTATCTACTTGGGATAAGAAAAAGAGAATTAAAGTCCCTAACTACAGAACAGCCCAAAATAAAATACATATTATTGTTTCCATGCAAAACGGATTAAGAAGGTAAAGAAAGACCTTGTTCCATCAGAAGGTAGATTTCATGCCCAGCAAACCTTCACAGACTCAATAATTAATGTCAGATCTGCATATGTGAGCCCACACAGTCCATAATGTAGCAAGGAGAGCTTTTAAAGTGATTTTTTCCTTGCTCCTTTGCTTGAGAATCGTTACATATAAGGGTATAAGCATTTCAATTTAAGTAAAAGATGTATTCCTGGAAAATTCCACATAAATCAATTTCATGGCAGAAACGGTTTAAAAGTTTTAAATGCAAGGGGTAAAGAGATTATCTCTTAAGGGAAAACTATGTTTCATACTTATTTCTTTCTAAATCAGTTTTCATTCCAGAAGCATGAAATATACTAAGACAGTGTACCCCTTTTTCGTTTCCTCTTGCCTGACCTTGTATCACTGATTTTTTTTTTCCCCCTTCTCTCTAGGACCAATATTCTACCTGAACATTCACATGTCAGTATCCCACCAGGCCCTACCTCTCTCTCAGCAAACTGAGAGGTGAGACACAGCAGGATTAGCCTTAGCAGCTACAGAGAGCACATGTACTTGTGTTTTACATGTACCCTATTGAAAGACACTGTATACGCTGAAAGAAGATAGTAGTAAAGCATATATTAGACCAGTGGTGGGCAAACTTCTTATGTAACAGGCCAAAATGTAAATACCACAGGCTTATGGTCTTACACAATCTTAAAACCACTCAAGTAGGTCACTTAGGAACTCTGATAGCGCAGTGCCTAAGGCACTTGACTGCTAACCAGAAGGCTGGTGGTTCAAACCCACCAGCCACTCCTCAGAAGGTTGGGCAATCTATTTCCATAGTGATACTGCCTTGGAAACCCAAGGATCGGTTGCTATGAGTTGGGTTTGACTTGATGGCACACAACAACAACAACAACCTGCCACTTTAGCACAAGAACAGTCATGGCCAATATGTAAATGAAATAAGTAACATTAAAAAACAAAAAACTCACAAACAAAATAATTCCACTTTGTTTACGGATACTGAAACTTGGATTTCATGTTGGGCAATCCTACTTCCGTAGTGATACTGCCTCGGAAACCCAAGGAGGGGTCGCTATGAAGGAGGGGTCGCTATGAGTCGGGGCCAACTTGATGGCAAACAACAACAACAACAACTTAAAAATGTGAAAACCATTCTTAAGAGTAGGCCCACAGGCCATAGTTTGCTAACCCCTACACAAAATTCGGAGGGAATGTGAAAGACAGTCAACCTTATGAAACCAACGTAAAGTAAAAAACTATTTCCCCCACCCTGGTACCACGATGGGAATAGATAAGTAAACTAAATTACCTCCAACTATTTTCTCCACCCTGGTTAAGACAGATAATTAGATAAGAACCCCCCCCCATGGGAATACATAAGTAAACAAAATTACCCTCAACTATTTCCCCACCCCAGGCATATGAGTATTCAGTTCCTTAAAGAATTGAATGGAAGGAAAACATTCTTTCCTGCAGGTGATAGACTCTGCTAAGAGTGTCTTAGAAAACAACTTGTAAATTAACTATGGCCCAGACATGAGCAATAGGACAGAAAGGAACTAAACTTATCTGCCTCCAGGAGCAATCATCACCCATTTCACGCCCCATATTCCTCAACCTTTTGTGAATATGCATAATCCCCTCTCCTGAAACCTACAAAAACTGTATTTCGATAGCATCTAGGGGAGTCACATTTGTGTACTGAACTACCCCTACTCCTTGCATTGTCGCTTTGCAATAAATAATTTTCTCTCCTCTTAATCTCGGTGTGTAAACTGTTTTGGC